CCATGGCCTTTATGATGCAGAACTTGGGCCGGTTCCTAAACAGAGGGAAACATCTGCTTCTTACAATCAAGAATCTTATCAAGCTTTGAAGGGTAATTTAGCTAGTCAATGACTAGGAAGAGGAACTGCCTCCATCAGAATGACCTTTTATTGTTTGTTAATTGATATGGAAGGACCTAGCCCACTGTGGGCGGTGCCATTCCTAGGTGAGCCTGAGTTGTGTAAGAAAGATAACTAGCACCGGAAAGCAATTCCTCCTAAGGTTTCTACCTCAACCTACTGCATTGATTCCCTACCTTGACCTTCCTCAAAGAGAGACTGTAACCCAAAACAGACCCTCTCCTGCCCAAGTTGCTATTAGTCATGGTATTTTTCTCACAGCAGCAGAGAAGTCAACTAAAACAAAAGCACTGTAAGGAAAATAGGAAAAGGTAAGGAAATTAATCCACCCCTGCCCAAGGGAAAAAAGGGGGAAGTTATAAGGAAAAAGAGATAGTGTCCAAAGATACAACCTAAGAGACAGGACATTCACTCATCTCAAGATAGCAAGTTGCCTCCTATGAAGGTGTCCCTTCTCAGAGTTTGGTTCCTGTTTGCTATTATTACTATAAAAGGAAGAAAGATGTTTGGGAAGACATGGAATGTCCTGTGTTTGGCTGAAGAAACACTATGGGACTTGAGCTCCTCCATCTAAACGTAATGCTTAGAGTGAAAGCCTAGGGGTAATGGGAGTTACAATGAGATCATGGTGGGACCACACAATGAACCATCTATAGGCCCACTGTGCATGGCAATTGCATGAGGAAGAAGCCCAAAGCAACCTCTGGCAGAAGAGACGACCCTTCCGAAGTCTTTCTGGGACTGCTCCTAGGATGGTGGAAGGCGTACCCACAGAGCCAGAAGCAGCAGTATCTCTCTTAGCCATTGCCCCAAGGATGGCGCAAGGAGACATACTGCAGTGAGCAGTCCACAAACTGTTTCGCCCAGGGTGTGTATCCTGACAGATTGCAGGGGCAAATGTCCTAAACTGCCTTTGATAAATTATGGCTCAAGGAACAGGGAGAAAGCCACTGAAATTTACAAGACTGGAAACCTGCCACGGAAGATGCTTCTACTCCACGCTTCCACAGATGGAAGCCTGCACCTTGACGAGGGATCTGATGCTACTGGCTCAAGGTCCAGAGAACCCTAAGGCATTAGAATTCTAAGTCCAGGCATGGAGAAATGCCTCAATGGTTAAGAGCACTGGCTGCTCTTCTAGAGGTTTTGAGTTCAATTCCCAGTAACCACATGATGGCTCACAACCATCTATAATGGGGATCTGATACCCTCTTCTGGCCTGCAGGCATAGACAGACAGAGCACTCACACCTAAACAAACAAAACACTACACACAAAGAATTCTAAGTTGGAAGGGTTCCCACCCCACAGGGCACCCCAACACCACACTAACAACTGGGGAAGCAAGTGTGCCAAAGGAGGTGATGTGCAGCAGACAAAGCAGTTTTCGGGGCTATCCCCAGAGGCTCCATTAGTGCAAGCCTATCCCTTGGTGGCGAGGGTATCCGAAAAGTTATTTGGAAAGATGGCTCAGTGGTTAAGAGCACCCACCACTCTTATGGAGGACCCAAGTTTGGTTCCCAGCATCCACATGGGCACACATAGCCACCTGTAACTCCAGCTCCAAGAAATCAGACACCCTCTTCTGGCCTCTGAGAGCAATGAATATTTGTGGTATACATACAAAGAAATAGGCATACATATATAGCTGTAAATTTTAAAGGCAAACATGGTGGTGCATACCTTGAATCCCAGTACCTAGGAGGCAGAGACAGGTAGATCTCTGTGAATCCCAGGGAAGTATGGCTTAGACAGTGAGTTCCAGGCCGGCTAGAACAAAACAGTAAGACCTTGTCTCTAAATAAATGAGTAATTTATTTTAAGGTTATTTGCAGTGACAGGCACGGTAGTGCATTCTGGAGGCCAAACTAGCAGGACCTCATGCTTGAAGTCAACTTGGTCTCTATACAGCAAGACTTTGAATGAATGAATCAATCAATCAATCAGCCAAAATAAAATAGCCAATTTATTTTGTGACTTTTCTAAAGTCCTAATTTCCAGTCCCAGGGAGATGGCTCAGTGTTTACAGGAGCTTGCCACTCTAGGGGCCCAGGTTCACGGCCAGGACTCATATCAGACATCTGACATCTGACAATAGCCTGTAACTTCAACTCCAAGGGATCCAATACTCCCTCTGACTTCTAGGGGCACCCACAAACACATGGTATATACTCACACAGACACACATACACAACAGTAATAATAAATCTTTAGAATAAGTGTAAACTGTGTAAATGTCTATCTCCCACCCAGCCTTTGACCCACGCCCTCAGGGCAGCACTTGCCCTCTCCCCACACATAAGTGCTGCGCCACTCTTACCTTATCTACGGCTAAGATTCATCCAGGCAATAGGCCAGGGGTGCAACTAGGTGCCAGGGTAGCTAGCATCTGTTTAGCACGTTAGAGGCCCTAGTATCATTCCAAACGAATACCGCCACTCCCCACCTCCCCAGCCTCACACCCAGTTCAAAAGACCAATTATGAAAAAGAAAAGAAAGCAAACAAACAAACAAACAAAAAAAAAATGAGGGCACTGGTTCTCAACTGTGGGTCACAACCCCTCGGGGGTCAAAGGACCCTGCCACGTGTCAAGTGTCATATATACAATTCATAGCAGTGGCAAAATGACAGTTAGGAAGTAGCAACAAGAACCATTTCATGGTTGGGGTCACCGCACGTGAGGAACTGTATTAAAGGCTTGCAGCAGCTTTAGGGAGGTTGAGAACCACTGCACTAAGGTCTTAACTACCAGGTTCTGCCTGGAGTGGTGACTAAGAACTAGGTGAAATGACATTACAGGTGATGCCTGTGGGTGAGACGGCACAGATGTCTAGATATCCCCCAGGGCCACCGGACATTTCTTTCCCTAACAAGGACTTCCTTCTTCATACTTCTCCATATTATTAACAGACAACTCTACATACCTGGTTAGTGAGGAGGAAGGTTTTGGTTCATTAGGCATCACGCAAACATTCAGTTACCTGTTTTTACTGGACTTAGTTTTTTAAAAAAAAAGTTAACAACATCAGAAAATATGATCTGGGGCCTACAAAATAACCCAGCTTGCCATGTGTCTGCTATGCAGGCCTGCAACCTGAGTTCGATCCCCACACCCCACATAAAGGTAGAAGAGAATGGGCTCCACATGTGCAATGGCACACACGCCCCTACATGTATCATACACACACACACAATTAATAAATCAACACTTTTAAATTTTTAAATAATATCTGAGCTGGGAGTTACCTCGGTTGGTGAAGTACCTGCCTGGTATGCAGTAGACCCTAGATTGGATCTGGGGGTGCACACCTGCAATCCCAGCATTTGGGAGGTAGAGGGATGCAAGAGGATCAGAAGTCCAAGGTCATCCTTTGCTAAGTAGCAAGTTTAAAGCCAGTAAAGCCACATGGGGGGGGGGGGCAGTGAGGTACAGGGTGAGGTGGGTGTGGAGAGAAACTAGATCTACCCAATATAATTACCATGTACCTTAGAAGATAAATCCCTAATGGAACCATCTTGTCTTCACGCCTTTAATTAAAAAATAGATATATCTAAAACCAGCCACTGAGGTGTCTCTGTTCTCTACTCTTGTTCTGTTTATTCAAACCCCCCTCATATGCCCTCTAAATTTCAGCTTTAGATAAAACACGATTTCAAAATGCTAACTTTTCAAGGCTATTTCAATCCACGTGTTGGCTTTCCCCTAAATTTCTATTTGGGTCACGTGACTTAATTCCTTTGTTTTTAGTGACAAAAGGCCGTGCTCGCATAAAAATAATAATTTCCATTGAGACCAACTAAAATACCAGGGGGATGACTGTATCGTGGTTTCCTGTTATCTTAACCACACATGAATGGCAAGAAATGTTAAGAAAATCCCAAGTAAATTACAAGACTCCATCACTGCTAGCATATTCAACCGGAGATAATGTTCCAGGTTCTAGTGAAACTTTACTCACCTTTAGGAAATAAACCTATGGTTGAAATCCCAACCCTGTCCTCCAGCACGTGAGAGTATAACCGTGGGTGCTGGGAAATGTAGTTTTTTGGTTTGTTTTGTTTTCCTGACGGCACATGTCTGGCTATCCCAACACATGTCTGGCTATCTCAACACGCCAGGACGTGGACTGGAGCGAATGACACTGGCACCAAGCTGCTCTGCAGACAAGCGTGGCTGGTGACCTACCAGTGCCCAGGAAGTCTTCCACTACGCAGAGAGGAACACGCTGAGCACAGGTTGTCTATGGAGCCGGAAGAACTTCCTCCCACTCCACACCATCTGGAAGAACAGTCTGTGGAGGCCGAATCAGGTCACAAGGAAAACCCACCCGAGAAGGAGTCCCTCCAAAGTCACCTCTGGGGACTGTGGAAGCGACCCGGAGAACGGGAATCCTAGGTCTCCGTTCACAGGGGACCGGCCTGATGACCTGATGGAGTCCACCCTGCTCGCGGCTCGGCTGACGACACTGCCCGGGACCGCGTGGCGGGGTGGGGTGCCGCGTACCGCGCCATGTAAGGGAAGATCACCCAGGCAGCGGCGGCTCCGGATGCCACCCGGGACGGCCAGCGTAGACGAGTCCCCGCGCCCACGTGGAGCCCTTCACGGCCACGCGTGGCAAGAGTACCCTGGTCGCCCGTGCTCACACCCCCTCGCTGTTGCATCATGCACCACGCCGCGCCTGCAAAGTACCAAGATGGACTCGGAAGAGGTCACCGGAACACGGGTGCGCGCCCCACGCACGCATCCCAGAAGATGGGGAAGTAAAGAAGAACCCTCGCCCTGCTTGAGCGGCCACGCGAGGCCCTGTGTTCCCATACACAGAGAGAGGTGACCTAGGATTTTAGAGATTTCTGGACATTCACCGGGCTCGCGTACTCACCGAGAAGGCAACGGGATGCTGAGCTGGGTGGGGACCGCGAGTAAAGAACCGCTCACACCTGCTGGCGGAGGGGATGGCGCGCGCGGGCGGGATCCGAGCCGGTTTCATCAGCCGCGCGCCGCCCTCCGCGGGCCCCGCGGCCACGGCCAGTGATGCGCGTCACCTTCCCGGGCACCAATGACAGCGCCGCGCGGCCGCGCCCCTGTGGGCGGGGACACTCGAAACCGGGCTTTCCCTGGCGCTTGCCCTTGGTCCCCAGAAGCTCCAAGCCTGTCTGTTTGGGTCAGAGCTGGTGGGTAACACAGGCTGAGCTGTGCCAGCTCCGACTTGGGGAGCCATTGACAGCTAACCTTGCCAGGTTTCGTGCTCCAAAGTGGATGCGAGACACATTTTAAAGAAATTTTAGGACTTGTTTATAAATCTTCTTTTGTCGTTGGACTTCTTTACAGCAGTGCCCTAGCTAACGCCTTAGCCTCACCCTTGTCAGGAAAGGCCCCAAAGCCCCTCCCTTTGGTATGGTACTTCCTTGCTAAAGCTAGTGGTGGCAGCTCACCCCAAGTTCAGTACCCAAATCCCTTTTTCACCTCTCAGACTCCTTCTGATCTCTGCTTCAAAATCAAGAACTACAATCTATGGGACTGAAGAGACAGCTCAATGGTTAAGACCACTGACTACTTCCCCAGTTCAATTCCCAGCACCCACATGGTGGCTCACAACTGTCTGTAACTCATGAATACCAAGCACAGACATATGCAGACGAAACACCAATACCCAAAAAATAAAGTTTTTAAAAAAGAGATACATATACATAAAGCCCCAATAATCACAAGACATGGGAGAAGTAAACAGATCATATAAACAACCACCTTAGCCCTTCAGTCTTCGTATTAAAAAAAAAAAAATGATGATATGTGTTTCTTAAGTGTCTTTTATCAGTGGTGGGGGTCATTGTCAGCCACAGATGTGATGTCCCTGTGGAATTAACTAACGATTTATTAATTTATACTGCCCAGCAGAAAGTTTAACGAACACATAGAAGGAGGTCGATTGCATAAAAACGGTGTTTGGAATTATAATAAGGCACCAAACACACACTGTTTTAAAACAGCCAATGGAAGTGTTAATCACGCAGTGATGAAATGATACTACCAGTATGCTGATCTTGTAAAGAGGCCTCCTGAACCTTTGGAAGCCTTTACCAGCCGAACTCACTGTAAAGGGTGTCCCAGTCCTCAGAGGGAGAGCATCTAATCAGAGGCAGCCAGTGTTGCCTTCAGCATCCACCTGACAGCTTTGCCTTCAGCATCCAATGAGAATTTGACCATTTCCTTTCCTGTGTGTCCTCCATGAATTATTTCATTGCCACTTACAAAAAGAAAAAAAATATATGTTCTCTTAAAAATTTATAGGCTATTCTTGTTTGGGATTAAGTTAGTGCACTAGGCTGCCACCGAGCAAGCTGAAAAGTCAAAATTATAAAATCCCACACCATCAAGCTGAAACTAAAGCAACTTTTCAAGAAACGAGGCTAGCCAGTTTGAGCTGACCCTTAAACAACACAGCATCCTGAAACAATGCTAACCAATTATTTTTCTGCTTAGCTCTTTCTCCCACCTCTAGTATGCAGGGAAAGTAACTTTCACCTGTTTTCTTCAACTCTTTTTTTGTGTGTAAAACCAACTTCTCCGAGTGACCATGGAGGTCACAAGATGGCACCGGTTCCCCTGGAGTTGGCATTACAGAGGATTGTGAGCCTCCTTGTGGGGGCTAAGAGGAGAACCTGGGATGAGCAGCCAATGCTGCTCTTGGGCAATGAGTCATCTCTTCAGCCCCTGATTTTTTTTTTTTTAAACTGACTTTTGGCTTGAAAACCTTAAAGATATTCCACATTTAAAAAAAAAAACCTATATTTATTTCATCCTCCTAGGAGGTTTATGCACAATGTTCAGTTTAGTTATCCCATTAAGTAGCTGGCCTTCAGACCAACAAGACCCTCAATGTCAGGGCCCATGAAAGTGTGACACAGTGTCACTCTCTCTTCTTACTGGATGCGAAACTCTCAGCTCCTTCTCCAGTACCATGTACAGTACCTGTACACATCCCTGTTTCCCCCTATGACAACAGTAGACTAAACCTGTGAACTGTAAGGCAGCCCCAATTTAAAGTTTTCCTTATATGAGTTGCTGTGGCCATGGTGTCTCTCACAGCAATAGGAGAGTGGCTAAGGCAAAGTGACAAGGATCAATATGAAGCAGGAAACTCAATTGTGGTCCAGAGCACACAGAGGATGCTGTTAATCCTGCCTCAATACTGTACCCAATGGCAAAGGTCAAAAGGAACTCTGAGTGAGAGGTCTCCATCACAGCTGGCTGAGCCGAGATTCCAAAAACCCAGAAAGAGAAAGGTCACTGGAATTTAGCCCTTGGTGAACACCTTGTTGGGCCAGTGTGTTAAAAGTCACATCCTAGTCTAGCACCATTAGACAGCATGAAGCACTAAAGTACCTAGAATTGGTAAGACAGGTGCAGGCTGGAACTCTGACCCACTCCCTAACAGCCCCTGGCCTGAGAAGAATGTCCTTGTTAACCATCACCCTCAGTTTCCACACTTTCCAGTAGGAATACTGTTAATTGCATCCAGATTCAAATTGCATGCTGAATATGGAAAACATATATAAAGATATACATAGACTTACACACATAATCAACAAATCTATAAAGGTACAAATATGACTGGAGAGATGGCTGAGCAATTAAGATCACTAGCTGCTCTTCCAGAGGACCTGGGTTCAGTCCCAGCACCCACATGGTGGCTCCCAAACATCTGTAACTCTATGGGATCTGATGCCCTCTTCTACCTCTTCAGGTGCCAGGCATGTACTTAGTACACAGACACACATGCAGCCTGAACACCCATACACATAATTTTGTTGTTGTTGTTTGTTTGTTTGTTTTGTTTTGTTTTGTTTTTTGTGTCAGATTTCTTTGTGCAGCAGCCCTGGCTATCCTGGAACTCACTCAGTAGACCAGGCTGGCCTCGAACACACAGAGATCCACCTGCCTCTGCCTCCCGAGTGCTGGGATTAAAGCATAGATCACCACTGCTCTGCTCACATAAACATTTTAAGATTAATTTTTAATCATCTATAGGTCTATTTGAGTGTGTACCATGTGTGTGGGTGTCCCTGGAGTCCAGAGATGTTAGGTCCCCTGAATTGTAGTAAGAGACAATTCAGCACCCAGCATGGATGTTGGGAATTGAACTTGGGTCCTCTGGAAAAGCAATCCATGCTCTTAACTGCTAAGTCATCTCTCCAGCTCAAAGTAAAATAATGTTTTAAGTGCAAAGTCTCCTCAATAAATCCTGTAAGAATAATGGGTCTCCACATGGCAAAAAATAAATAAATAAAATAAGATAAAGGTACAGAACACATGTCACCATAATCAAAAATTAACTTCAAATGAACTGTAGTGGTTTGAAGATGACTGTCTCATGTGAGCACAGATATTTGAATATTTGGTCCCCAGATGGTTTCACTATTTGGGTAGATTTTTGAGCTGTGGCCTTGATGGAGGAAGAATGTCAGTGAGGACTAGCTTTCTATAATTTCTATAAATTGCTCTGGTCACAGTGCTTGTTACAGCAATAGAAAAGTAGCTAATATACTCATCATAGAACACAAAATTCTAAAATTCAAGAGATATGAGCTAAAGTCTAGGTGACTTTGGGTTTGGTGGGATCTTTTCCTTTCTTGTGTTGCTAGGTGTCAAACCTAGGGCCTAATGCATAGAAGGGCCTAATGCATAGAAGGGCCTAATGCATTACTCTGTCACTGAGCCACAACCCCAGACATAGTGAAAACTTTTTAGACACACCAAAATCATAGCCTGTGGAAGAATTAATTGATAAGTTTTTTTTTATATGCTCTGCAAAACATTTTTTCTATGAGATTGGAAAAGACAATCCACAGACTAGCAGGAAATCCTCTGCAAAACACAGGCATGATAAAGGGTTAGTGTTCAAAATTTACAAAGAGCCTTTAACACTCAACAATATCAAACCCTAAGGGTGTGTGTGTGTGTGTGTGTGTGTGTGCGCGCGCGCACGCGCGTGTGCAAACCTAGCACCTTCTGTATTGTCCCTCAACCGTGAACACAGACAACCAAAGTCTCTGGAGGAGTTTGGTGGAACTATATTGTCTAAGTTGGCTTTCTGCTGTTGAGTTGAACACCGTGACCAAAAGCAATTTGCAGGGAGAGGATGTATTTCATCCTACAGCTTATTGTTCATCCTAAAGGGAAGCTTAGGTGGGAATTCGGGCAGGAACTGAAATAGAGGACATGGAGGAATGCTGCTTACTGGCTTACTCGCCATGGCTTGTTCAGCCTTCTTTACTATCCAGAACCACCTGCCCAGTAGTAACATCACCCACAGTAAGCTAGGCCCTCCCACATCATTCATCAATCAAGAAGATGCCTCACAAATTTGCCTACAGGCCAGTCTGACGGAGGCATTTTCTCCATTGAGGTTCCCTCTCCCCAGGCATCTCCAGCTCCAGCTTGGATCCAGTTGATAAACAGCACATAGGTGTTATTCTCTGTTACTTGAATTGAATTGTAGTTACATCCTTTAACCTATCTGTGAGTTTTTCCTTTTTCTTTTTTATATGCACTGGTGTTTTGCCTACATGTATGTCTGTATGTGGGTGTCAGGTATCCTGGAACTAGAGTTACAGACAGTTGTGAGCTGCTATGTGGGTACTGGAAATTGAACCTGGCTCCTCTGAAAGAATAGCCAGTGCTCTTCACCACTGAGCCACCTCTTCTGCCCCCTGAGTGGTTTTCCAATCCGAGCATCCATCAGATACTTCCTGCTGCCTTTCTTTTGGGGCAAAGGGATCACTTAGTCCTTGGCTGGGAAAGTGCACCCATTGAGTCACAGTGGTTGTGTTCATTGTTGTTTTTGTGAGCTGGCAGCCCAGAGAAAAATCTGTCTATACAGACAAGAGGGATGGTTCAGCTGTTAAAAGCAAGCAGTTGTGAAGAGCCCAGTTCATTCTTAGCTCCCTAAATGCCTGGAACTCCAGCTCCAGTGGGTCCAACACTCATGTGGGCATACCCACACGCAA